GTCATTTATTCTGATTGTTGTGGGATAGCCGGATAGCTAAATGAAAATGTTAAATGAGAGTGAGAGCTATATATTGTACCTTGTTAGTTATTCAACACAAGGAGGAGGAAAATAATAGGACGGAGATGAGGTATTTATATATAAAATACAAACATGAAGAACATTTTTTTTTCTCATTAATAAAGTCCATAGTTTGATTTATCCTTTATATTTTTCTTCTATAGATCATTCTTCTCTTGAGTATATCTTTATAATCTTACATGAAAATGCTTTTAGATTTCAAATTTCAATTGATAATCTTCTTTGGATTCCTTAATAGTTTCCATTTCTACCTTTTGCAGTCAACTTGACAATAACAACTTTGATGGGGCTACTATTCCAAGATCATTTGGAAACATACCTACATTATTGAAGTTGTAAGTGCTTACTGGGACCCTATCCTCGCATTATTTAGATTTAGAAGGTAGAGATGAGGAGACAAGTGCTACCATCTTATTAATATATTTATACGGGATACATATAAGACTACACATATGAAATCTCTATAAACCAATATTTACATGGTTTCACCATTACAAGCAAACAACGGCTAAAATCATCAGTAACAGAAACACAAAACAATAAAATTTCTGTAAAACCATATTTACATTAAAGAAAACTAATACAACTTAGAAGGATAATTTTCAGAGTGAAATTAGGTTTTGCTTACGCAACTAGGATGAAATGAAAATATTATAAACATGAAATACCTTAAATACTATACTACTGAATTAATAAGCATCATATAGCTGTCCCTATTAATTTTAACATGGATTGAAAATGACTATTAGAAAGCATATGTGGACTTGAAGGTGTGTGGAATTTTGTGATGCTGAACATTTTTGTTGGTTAAATTATTAGGAGTCTCAAGAACTGCAACTTGCAAGGATCAATTCCTGACCTAAGTGGAATACCTAACCTTGGTTATTTGTAAGTTCATGTGTTTGTTCCTCATGATGGAATGACTTTTCTATTATAAAATTAAATGTAACTGCTATTTCCATTTCTCTTGTATAAATTTCAGGGAGCTGAGCTCAAACCAGCTAAGTGGATCCTTACCTACAAATAAACTCTTTGAGAATATCACAACCATGTAGGATTCTCTCACTAGCAATGTACACATTTTTGTTGATTTGGTTGCTTTAAGATTTTGAAATACTCACTTTGGATTATAATTCCTTTGTGTGATTCCATGATTTTTGACATTTTGTT